GCGGGGGGGGGGGGGCGCTGCAGGCGTCTTGGCCCCTGAGTCCGGGCCTGGCCGGGGATGCAGCACAAGCCCAGCCTCCGCACCCCCCATGCGGGGCTTGCAAGTGGTCGCGGCCCCCAGCTGTGCCAACATTCCTACCCCACCGCCCCCCCTGAAGGTGTGCCGGCAGCCAGCGCTTTGGCGCGCCTGAGCCTGGGGGCTGCGGGAGGGACGGCCCCCGAGGAGGCCTGAAGGCCGGGCGCCCTGGCAGGGACGGCGCTTCGGGGCAGGCAAGGTGGGGGCGCAGCCCGCTTCTGGGGCAGCCACTCCGTGTGGGGATCTCGCCAGGCCACGGCCCAGGCGGGTGCAAGGCCAGCCAGAGAGGCGGGGGGCCCTTGGTGAGCGTGGCCGCTTTCCTGGGGGCGATGCCCGCCCGCCCGCCCGCCCGCCCGCAGTGAGGCCGGATCCCTGGCCCGGAGGTGGGCGAGTGGCCCCCGGCTGCAGAGCCCGGCCAGCCGGCGGTCCCCGGGGGTGCCAGCTCCTGCCGCTGTGCCGATCGGTGGCCGCCCCGCATGAGCCACCCCAAAATAGGCTGGTGGTTGGAGGAGGCTGATTGGCGGTCCGGGGGTGCGAAGAAGCCGTGCTCCCCCCCCCCCCCCGCAGCCCGACCAGCCTCTGCTTCACCTGGATTTCTGTCCCGGGCCAGGCAGCTCCTGGCCGGCCGCTTCCCTGCTCACGGCGGCAGGTGCTCGGGGGCCTCCACGCGGGCCGGGTTCGGACCCCCGCAGCCACGGGCCCCGGCGGTCTTTCAACCAGGGTGCAGCCATGTCGTGGGGTGCCGCCTGGAGGGGCACGGTGTGCTAGGCCCTCGTGACGGAGCCGTGCCTGGGGGTGGTGGGCTGGGGGGTGGGCGAGACCCGGCAGTGCCAGGGGAGAGCGGCTCCACCACCAGCCCCTCCTCTGTACGACGGGATAAGCCGCCACCAGACCACGAGAGCTCGAGGAAGGGGGCAGGGAGCTTGGCCCGGAGCCCCCCAGCCCCCCGGGATTCCCAAGACGCGCCCCAGCAGCCACACCAGATGGCTCTCCAGTTCCCGGGACCAGCCCTTGGGGCCACGTGCATCCCCAGAAGCGCTCAAGGTGCAGGAAGCGTCTCGGAAGGGGGGCCCCCCGCCCAGGGCGAAATCCGTCTGAGCCGGGATGGCCCCTAATGTGATTAGCTGGCCGCAAAGCTGAGGTGCTCAGACAGGTTTTGGGGAGGGGGCCCCTCTGCTAAGCCCCAGGCAATTCCTGGGCAGCTGGCCAAGACGGTCGCCCTCTGCCCCCCCGGAGCACACTGGTGTCTGCGGGGGGGGGCAAAACAGGCCCTCGGGTGCTGCCCCCTTCTGCCTCCCCCCACAAGAATTGCCTTCCTGCTCCCAAACGCGGCTTCCCCAGGCTGGGGGCCGGGGGGGGCAGGGGGCTGAGCCCCTGGCAGCCATTGAATCCGTGACGACCTCGTCCCTGAGCTCGCCTCTGAGCCTATATGTGGGTCACTCATCAAAGCCGCTGCCCCAGATCTGGGCCTGGGACGCCCGGCGGGGGGAGCCGCACTTGCCGCAAGCCCTTCCGGCCCCCCCACCAGCGCCACGCCGGCGCCTGGCTGTTTGCTCAGGGCGGAGGAAGGCGGTCGCCCCCACGGCCTGCGCTCCTGTCAGCGCTTCCCCAGGGGGCCGGAGGCGCAGAATGCAGGAGGCCCCCTCCCCCCGCCGAGCAGGGCTTGATGCAGCCGAGCCTTGGGGGGGTCTCCCCCCCCCAATCTAGAAGGTTGCGATGCTCCCTGGATGAGCGCAAAGCTGCAGACGAGTTTGGTCCCCGCACCAAAAGCGGCTCGGAAAGCATCGCCAGGTGGCACTGGGCCCTTCGCCCACCCCAGCGACAGCCTGGTCCCACGACGGGGCCCCCTTCGAGGACTGCGCCTGGGACACCCTGACAGTCTCGGAGACGCCCGAGGCCGCCGGCCAGTGGCACACCCGGCATTAAAAGAGGCGAGCGCACGCCTGGATGAAGATGGATGCCGGGCCTGAAGAGGTGGCGGTTCCTCGGAGGAGCCCCCACCCGCGACTCCAGCTGCGCGCAGGCATGCGCTGCTCCCCGTGCGAGGAAGACGCATGCCAACTCACGCCGACCCCAAAGCCGGCCACTCTGCCCAGTCCAGGGGCCCCCATGGCGGCCCCTTCTTCCCAGCGGGGGTGAGGCCCTTCCCGTGTGGGAATGGCACTCGGCCCCGGCCTGTGGGTCACGCCACAGGGTTTCAGGACTTGGCGCGAGAGGCTGGCCTGCGCAGCCTGCCTCTGCCGGGGGCCGACCCAGAGGAGGCCCCGCCGGTCTTGGCCGCTCTGCTGCCCCAGCCCGGATCAGAACCGCACACGGAGGCCGGGCACTCGCGGGTCCCAGCCCCTCCGCTCCGCTGTGGCGAGCGCGCTTTCCAGGAGCCACAAGCGCAGCTGCAACCTGGGACCAGGGAGGACGGCGGAGGCGGCGCTGCCCCTTCACCACGGCCCGGCCTCTCCTCTCCTCTCCTCTCCGCACGTGCGTGGTGTGGCGCCCGTGCCTGGCAGAAGAGGCCCCGGCCCTGTGACTCACGGGCGAAGCACTCGGCTTGCGCAAGGGACCGGTCTGGATAGGTGCCTCTGTGGGGCGGGGTGCCGGGAGCCCTTGGCAACCCCAGACAACACCCGGGCAGTGCCGGGAGGCGGGCGAGCCCCATGGGCGAGGCGAGTCCGGAGGTCAAAGATAGGGCGGGCTCGGCCAGCCCCGTGAACGGCCGCCCTGTGCTGGAGTCCGGGGTGTGGGGCCGAGAGGGCTCGGGCTCGGGCTGCCCCCAAAGTGCCCCACCCCAGTCCCCCGAAACGTTCGTGGCCGCTCATCCCGGCAGCCGGCTCCGAGTCCGGGAGAGCTCAGCACGGGGCGGCTGCCCAGGGCAAAGGCCGAAGGGCTGCGCTGGCGGGCTGCCTGCCAGAGCTCCTGGGGGGGGGGCGTGGGGCCCTCCGTGGTCCTCGGGCAAAGCTGTGTGTCACATCCAGCAGGCCGGTAACGGCTTCCGGATGGCCCAAAAGCATCCCGCCTCTCACGACAAAGCTGAACGGGAGTTCGGGCTCCTCGTCTCTCTGCCCCCCGGCGCGCCTTCTCTGCGGCTGGAGGCCCAGGGCAAGCAGACGGGGACTGGCGAATTGCCTTTTTCCAAAAAGCAGCCCAGAGCCAGAACCGCCCCCACAAGTGACCAGGGCAGAGGAATCCGTGCCCACAGCTCTGAGGCGCAGCCAAAACCACACGCCATGCAGCCACCTCAAAAGGATATTTTTGGAACAAAACGAGCATCTCTGCATCGGCACGGGTGTCTGGCCGTCACTGCCGCCTCCCGTCCCCGTCAAGAGCGCAAGGAGGCGGCCGGACCAGCTGCGGGAACGGGCTGCGTGAGGAAGAGCCGCGGGCCCGCGGGCCGCCCAGGTGGCGACGGCCCCGCACGAGGGGGAGCAGAGGGCGCTGGCCGCCTCGGGGCAGACGTCTCTGCTGCAAGGAGAGGCTCCGAGGGGAGGCAGGCAGGCAGGCCGGAGCAGCAGGTCGGTGACCCGTGTGCCTGGGGACTCTGCCCTGTGCAGGGCAAATATTTTTAGCAAAGCAGGATTAAACAGCGACGGAGAGCCGTTCTCCTTTCCGCCGTCTCCCCGTCGAGCTTGCTCCTCCAGCCCCAGACAAAACCCTGCAAGCAGCTTTGCCTGCCCTGAGCGCACTCGGGAGGCTCTTGCGGGGACACGCCACCGTTCCCTGGCGGAGAACGAAAAAGGGGACAAGGCCAGCGGCCCCCCGGAAGCGCTCCGAGAGGCACCGGCGCGAGAGGGCGAGGCTGGATCGTGCCCCTTTGCCTTTTTGTTATTTTCACATGGGCAGACCGCTGGAAAGAGGAACACTTCATATGCTCAGAGATACTCTAGACCAGTGGTGGCGAGCGGGAGCCAAGTTGCCCAGCCTCTCCCAGCAGCCGAGCATCGGAGAGCAGCGCACACAGGGGCCATGCGCACGCTCAGAAAGGAGTGGCGGTGCCAGGCGATGACGCCACGAGCCGCCACTCATTAGCCGCGACTCGTCCGAGCTTTCGCATGGCCGGTCAGTGCGCTGCCAAGGAGATACATTTTCCTGCACTGGCTGGGAGGTGTTTTTTCTAAAGTAAAACCTCAGTTTTCAGGTTTCACGGCAGTGTGGGCCCCTTGCGATGCTTTTGGGTTGCAGTGTGGGCACGCGGCCCCTGCAAGTTTTGCCGTCGCTGCTCTCGACCCGTGTGCCTGGCAGACCTGGCTGCCCCCATGGCGGATGCTGGGTGTCCCCCCACGGCTCCGCTGCCGGAAGCGAGCGCTCCAAGCCACACGGCGCTGGCAGCCGGCCTGGCCCCCCTCGCCTCCCGTCCCACCTGCCCCTGGAAGGCGGCCCGGGGCGGAGGGGGCTCTGTCGCCTCGGCTGAGGGAGGGGGCCCTTCGTGCCAGAAGTGGGGCACACCCACGGCACCGCTGCTTCTGCTGCCGCCATGGCACGGCCCCCAGACCAGACCCTCGCAAGGAGATCCTCCGGACTCAGCATGTCCGCACAGGTGGTGCCCAGAACACGCTCCAGGAAGCAAGCCTAGTTAATAAATACAAGAGGTCATTTATTTTAAAAAACAGAGGGGGGGAGGGGGAGAGAGAGAGAATGAGAGGGAGAGAGCACAAGGTTGGAGCCGCCGGCAGCTGCTCCCGGCAAAAGGCAGACAAAGACAGAGTATTGGGAAACTACTCCGGCACAGGGCAAGGGAGTTCCAGCCCCGCTCCCACATTCAGGGCTCACCGTACAAAATATGGCTTTCAGGGCACAGGAGAGGGGGCCTCCGTCGAGGGGGGGCCGGCAGGGCTGCGAGGGGGGTTCACAGTCCATAGGCACCGGAAGAAAGACTTTGGAGCGGCTCCCAACTGCGGGCCCGGGGGCTGCGAGAGCGACAGAGGCCGCCCCTCGCCGGGTGCTGGTGTGTCCCGGGGACCACGGGGACGTCCTGGGAGCAGAGGCCCTGCCCAGGGCCCCCCGCCGCCCTCCTGTGCACCCACCGGCCGGGGCGAGGAAGCGTGACGGGGGGCCGGTTCCCACGAGGGCAGCCAGCCCAGCTCCTCCGCAGAAGGCGACAGACGCGAGGCCGGCCGGCATGACGGGAGGCGGGGGTCTGCGAGCGGGGCCCGGCACGCGTCCCGGGGCCGGGAGGCGCGTCGCCGGCGGCTCAGGCCAGGATCTTCTGCGGGATCTCCACGGACGCCTTGATGAAGACCGCGTTGTCCCGCACGTAGTTGCGCTTCCGGATGTCCTCGTGCGAGATGAACTTGGGGTACCCGAAGCCCAGCAGGCTCTCGTCCAGGGACGTGTGGCCCGAACCGGGCTTCTGGAAGTTCTTCCAGTTGGGGTCGGGCAGGAAGGTCTCCGTGATGTGCTGGGGCTTGGACAGCGAGGGGTCGCTCTGGTCCAGCAGCGAGAAGGTGACGCGGTGGGCGAAGGGCCACTCCAGCAGGTTGTCGTACTGGCCCGGCAGCACGCGGATGTAGAGCGAGAGGTGGGTGCCCTCGCCGCTGCCGTTGCCGTTCAGGAAGGCGGAGGCCTGCAGCTTGTAGCCGTAGCGGTGGGTGTAGAAGGGCGGGCTGAAGGACTCGTAGTTGCCCCGGGCCTTGGCCTCCTGCAGCTTGCGGGCGTAGTCGGAGATCTTCCAGATCAGCACGCCCTGGCTGCCCACCGCCAGCTCCTCCACCTCGCGGCGCAGCTCGGCCAGCTCCTGCCGCTGCCGGGAGACCAGCCCGCAGACCAGGCCCAGGTGCAGCTTGGTGCTCTCGTCCAGGTGCCGGCCCATGGAGAGCTTCGGGCACTGCGGGCAGGGAGCAGAGGGCGGCTGAGCGGGGCCCCGGCGGGGCGGGGGCCCAGCAGGGGAAGGCCGGCCCCCGGCTGGCTCCACTCCCAGGGCCCCGAGCAAGGGGCTTCCCCTGTCGCCCCGTCCCTTCCCCCTCGTCCCACCAGCGATGCCAACGGCCAAGCCACAACCCCGACCGGCTCTTCCCACTCGCCCCGTGGCCTGTGCAGGGCCTCCCCGAACCCCGGGCCGGGCCGCCCGCTTACCCGGTGCTTGCAGCCGGCCTCCTTGAAGGGGCAGAGCGCCAGGGCCGTGGTGCAGTTCTCCTTGAGGTGCCCGCCGAGGTCCTCCCGGGCGACGCTGGGCACCCCGCACTGGTTCGGGCAAGGCACGGGGTAGCGGGGGCACTGGAGCTCGTGGCTCTGCGGAGGAGACCGAGGGGGCACGGTGCCACGGCCAGCCCAGCTTGGCAAGCCGCTCGGGGGGGCAAGCGGCCCGTCTGGCCGGGCAGGGTGGGCCTGGTGGCGGGGCGGCGAGTGGACGGGGCTCCGACCTCGAGGTGGACAAGCCGAAAGGCCCTCACCGCTCCCCCTCGGCCACGCCGGGCTTCTATCCATTTCCCCCCCTCGAGGTTTGGCCTGCGACGGAGAGGATGGGGAACCCGCACTGTGGGCACGAGGGCAGGCGGGCCCCGTGCGCTGCCGCCCGGAGGGGGTGCCCGTGGCAAGGGCTACAGCGGAGTCGCCAGAACGGATCGGCCACCGCCGACGTCAGAGCCCCCCCCGGCAGGCGGCTCCCGGCCCCGCGGCTCACCTGGATGGTGTCGAAGAGGAACTCCTTGGCGCAGTGGCTGCAGGGCTGCGTGCGCTTGGGGCACTCGGTCAGCGTGTGCTGCGGCAGGAGCCGGCGCATCATGCGCGCACCACACTTGTTCTCACAGTAGACGCTCTCCTGGGGGCAGGCGCCCTGGTGGGTCTGGAGGGGAGCGAGCGAGGCAGGGGGCGTTGGCGGGGCGGAGGGTGGGCGAGGGGGGGCACCCCGACGCGTCGCGCCTGCCGGGGACCCGGGGCATCGGCGGAGCGCCTGATTCCCCGCATGGCCCGGGTCTGAGCCTCGGCGCTGCCGGTGGCAGGAAGGGCCACAGGGCAGCTGGCGGAAAGCCCCTGGCCCCGCAGAGGAGCTGGGACAGCCGCTCCGGTCCCCCCCGCCGTCCCTCCAAACACCCAGCCCTCTTGGACTCGTGCAAGGCGTGGCACTCTGCGTGTGGCCAGAGGCACTCGGCTCTCTGCCAGACAGCCACGCCCAGAAATCGAACAGGCCGGCGGGCGGCCGGTGCAGCTCTGCCCCCCCCGCAAGGCCCGGCAGGGCGCGGCCGCCTGGCACCGGAGTCCCGCGGGCGCACACGTTGGAGGAGGCTGGCACGCCGGGCCTGATCCTGACCGCGGGGTGCCCCCCCGGAGCCCCGCCGGGCCGCTCACCTCGAAGGCCTCCCCGGTGAAGTCGGCCCCGCAGAACTCGCATTTCAGGTGGCGCTGGGGGCAGTCGTGCTGCAGGTGGGGCGGCAGGTCGCGGCGGCTCAGCTTGGACCCGCAGCGGTTGGGGCAGGAGACCACGTTGAAGCTGCAGGAGCCCAGGTGCGCCTGGGGCGAGGCGGAGAGCGGTGTCCACGCGGGGAGGGCGGCCGGCCCCTCCCCTGCCCCCCCTGCGGGGGCGGCCCCCAGCCCCACGCTGGCCACGGAGGCGGCCGCCCCCTCTCCCCGCCCTCCTCACCTGCAGGTGCCGGATGGTCCCGATCCAGCGGCAGCCCTCCTCGCTGTGTATGCACCGGATGGTCAGGCTCAGCACCTGCGCCTCCAGCTCGGGGTCCGGATAGATCTGGAAGGGGGGGCAGGGAAGACGCCCACGACCGGCCGGATTTCGGGTGAGCCGTTCCCACCTGCCCCGCTTTCCACATTCAACCCTCGCCATGCGCAGCCCCGGCCCCCCTTGCTCAGCTCCCCTCCCGCATGAGCCTCCCGGGAGTCGGGAAGCACAGGGCAAGCCGCAGCGTTTTCAAACGTCTGCTAGAGGCAGGGGCACACGGGTCAAGCGAGCCGCGGCAGCCCTGCTCCATTTCCGCGGCTCCGAAAGTGGCGTTCTTTTCAAGAAACAGATGCTGCCCGTCCGGCAAAGCCCGTCAGGCCGAGAACCCGTTCGAGGCTCACCCGGGTGGCCAGAGTCTGACCAGAGGCTGCCGCGGCTGATGTCTCCGCCGTGAGCCGGCCCTGCCCTCGCTCTGACCGCCGGGCGCCCCAGGCCCCGAGTCGGGAGGCCGCGTGCCCCGGGCATAGGCTGACAGAGACATGCCCGGAAGCGCCCGAATCTGGAGGGGGCTGCCGCCGGGGCAGTCATCCTGCGGGCGAGCGGCCAGGCCGAAGCGAAGATGCCGCCGTGCCGAGCTCGGCCCCGAGAGCGTCCAGGGGCCGGCCGGGGCCTCACCTTGGCGTAGTCGAGGGGGAGTTGGTCCTCTGGACACTTGAAGACTCCTTCGCTGCAGGGGGAAGAGGGGGAGAGGTTGAGAAGGGCGGCGGAGGAGGGTCCGGATCGGCAGGGCCCCCGGAACGGCCTGCCCCGAGCCGAGCCGCGTCTCCTTCCCACTGCTGGGCCAGGAGGAGCAGGAGCCTGCGTCCCATAGAAGGGGGTGGGGGGCATTCCTGTATCCCTGACGTTGCTCCTGGGCCATCAGGCTGCAAACCATGAGAACCAGAGCACTGCTGGGATTTGTTATTTATTTATTTATTTTATTTATTAGAACATTTCATACATTTATGGCAGGGGGAGGCTGCCCAGCCCTTTTCGGCTCACACTCAACACTCCGCCATTTTCCGACTTGCGCCCGAAACGCTTCCAGCAGCCACAAGGCCAGGCAGGTTCGCCGGGGGGCCGGGGGGGGGCTCCCGCCTCGGAGCACCAGAAGGCCGCCCCCCACGCCACAGTGAGGCTCCGGGGGCCGCTCCACCCGCCGGGACCCTTCCCAGAAGGTGGCAACGCTTTTCCTCCGGCCGCCCTGCCCACCCACCTGGCGCCGCTGTGCTCCTGGGGCCTCTAATCCCCTCCATCTGTCCATGCGCTCCCTCCACGGCGGGGGCCCAGCTGCTCTCGCAGCCCCCTGCTGAGGTGGAGGGCCCAAGCCACACGCGAGGCCGGGAAGGGGGGGCACCGGGCACAGCCGGTGGCAGCGCAGCTGGGAAGGCCGCCAAGCCCTGCTACTCCCGACGCCGCCCCTGCCTGGCAGGCCACCCCATTCCCCCCCCCCCCCCGGCCACTCTCTGCCCCGGTCGTCCGGCGAGGCTCGGCTGTCCGCCCTGCTGGGGCCGCACCAGGGAGTCTAGAGGGCCCCGGACTGCAGCCGAGGCGGGACAGACCGCAGCAGTGGGGCCGGGGCCCCCCAAGTCCCAGCCTGGGGTCTTCAGCCCACCGCCGAGGGTGGGCACGGGAGGAAGGGGAAGCACAGAACCGAAAGGGCAGCACGAGAGAGCGAAGAGCCGCCCTGCTAAATCAGACGGGACGAGGCACCTTCCGAGCACGAGGGACGACGGCCCCCATCAGCCCCACCGCCGCTTGCAGCACATTGCGTCCAACGCAGCAGCTCTCTCTGTCCATGAGGACTAGAAGCTGCAGCGTTCTTCTGTGGACGTGGCTGGGCTCGAGGCCGCGGAAGCGCCCTTTCCCAGCACCGCCCGCCGCCGGGCCCTCCGCGCCCTACGTGGCAGGAGCCCCTGCGGAGCCCCTGGGGAAAGGCAAGGGTTAACGGCGGGAGGGGCACCGCATTCCCTGGGTGGGGGTCCGGCGGATTAATCCCCACCGGCTCATGCTTGGCTGGGCAGGGAATCTGCTGACACAGCAGCCCAGGGAGGCGAAGGAGGCCGTGCGCCCCTCCAGCCGGCGGCATGCGGCCCAGCGGTCCCTGCCCCAGGGGCGGGCGAGCGCCCCCAGCGCTGAGCCCCCGCCCCTCTGAAGGAAGCCCCCCCCCCTCCCGGGACCGGCATGCAGCAGCAGGCACTCTGTCGATGCCCTCAGGCCCATGGCAGGGCCGGAGTCTGTGCACCATGCGCCGTGCGACTTTCGGAGCCCTCTGCCCACCTGCCCCTTTGGGCCCTTTCGGTGGGCGTCCCGGGGGCGATTCCGGGCGGCTTGAGTGCGGCCTCGTGCAGGAGGGCGGAAGGCAGCGTGGCGGCTGGCTGCCGGCGGACCAGACCCGGCCCGGGGGGATCCGGGTCCCGGTCCCGGCCGGCTTCGCCCGGTCCCGGATCCAGGCTCGCCTGCCGCGCGGCGTCCCTGGGGGCCGACCGTGCAGCCAGCAGCCCTGCAGCTGCACGGGGGTCCTTGCGGGGGCGAGCCGGGACCCTGCCCAACAAACCCGCCCGAAACGCAGACCCGGTGCGGGGACAGCGTCCGGACGGGGGTCCCGTGGCTGGTGCTGCTGCCACTGCCCAGAGCTGCCCGGGCGCAGCAGCCGCCTCACTCCCCGAGTTGGAGCTCAGGCTCCCCGGGCCAGTCCGGGCCCCCAGGCCCGCGAGCCACGCCGGGCCACTCGGGGAGGACGCCGGCCGGCCCGTCTGTGGGCGGCCAGCCCGCCCTCCGGATGGGCCTTCTGGGGCGGGGGGGGCGGGGCGGGGCGGGGGCTGCTGAGGAATGGAGGAAGCAGCCACCGAGATCTGGCTCGCATTCCCAGGCACAAAACCCTTTTATGTTCCCTGCCCCCTCCCCCTCCGCTCTTGCCAGGCAAACACAAACAAGGAGCGCTTTGCACAGGCAAGCGGAGGCATGTTTGGCCGCCCGTCCCTCCCCTCGGGTGCGGCGACCCCCAGGCTGCTCACCCAAAGGCACCACCGGGCAGATCCAGATCGCAAGCAAGGAGAGGTGGAGAGGAGTCTGGGGGCAGGCGGCAGACACGGAGGCGGAGATGCGGGGTGCTTGTGCTTGGGGGAGCTCACCAGAGGGGCAGGAAGCCGCAGGAGGAAGGGCATCAGGGCTGCCTTCTGGTCACGGGGCGGCCCAGGCGTGACCCTGGGAAGCCACTGCGGTCTCGTCTCCTGCCTGCGGCCGAGGGAGTTTTCCGCTGCCACGCAGAGAGGGGCCGTTTCTGCAGCGGAGGGGAGGGCCAGCTCTCCTCTCCAAGTAGCCACAACCTCCCTGCCCAAAATTGTGCCCAGCCCCAGCATGGCGAGCTAAATTTTCCCTCCTTTTGGAACGACTTGATACGGAGAGCAAAGCCAGAGAGGTTTCCCAAGGCTTTGGAGGAGATATTAACCGGCTGGTTTCGTAATGTAAAATTTAAGTCGGTGCTTAATAACTTTTCCCAGATGTTCATCGGGGCATGAACTAGCCTAGAGAGACGTCTATCTGATGGGGTCAGGGCCCCCATCCTTTAAGTGCCCAGCATTGTCCCGAAATGCAGCTACGACGGCCTTGAGACCTAGAGAAATTCGAGTGTCACCCCGGTAATCAAAATACACCAACGTGCAAGAGAAAACCTTAGCAGGGTGCCCTGCTCCAGCCTTCCTGAGCCTGGGAGCGTCTGGATGTGTGCTGGACCACAACTCCCATCATCTCCCAGCCGGCAAGGGAGGCCCTCGTGACACAGACGCGGCCCATCTGGAAGCCGGGCACAGCAGGGTCAACACCGCGGCCAGCATGGATGCTGCTTTCAGGGGTCCCACGCGAACTGCCCGTCTCCGTCCCGACGTACGGAGCTCCTGAGCCGGAGGAGGGAGCTCAGCCTGGTGCGTCATCAGCACCTGGTGGCGATCCGCCCTGCGGGCCTTTTCAGCACGGCTGAGATACCAGAGAAGTGTGCCAGCTCAGCCACCCACAGTTTCTGCACACCCGAAACGCCACAGCTTCACGGCTGACGAATGGCTCTGTGTCACTCGGGCGGCTGGCGCAGGCTGGCTCGGTGCCGAACCCAGTTCAGCTGCTTAAAGGGAACCGACTTCGCGTTTCCACCAAGAACGGTGTCTGGACTCAGCAGGGGTGACCATTGCAGGCCACCCCGGGAAGCCAAAGGGAGCGGGGGCCTCGACTGCACACGGGGAGGCAAGGCGACGGACACAACAGGCCTCTGGCGAAGAAGGGCTCTTGCTCAGCAGGCCCCTCTTCTGCTCTGAGCCAGGACAGGCACAGAGCCTTCGACTCCAGTAGCAGTCTACCTCTACATCCCGGCCTTAGGAAAGAGCTATCGCACACCTGCACTTCACCAGGCTGCTGAGCACCTGAAGAGCGTTTCCCAAGCTGGGGCCTTCCGGCCAGGCTGAACTACGACTCCCAGCACCCCCTAACAGCAGGCTGTGCCTCTCCCCTCCCCTCCCCTGCCCGGATCCTCGCCAATCAGGCACGGGCTCCACCGCCCACGAACGTCCCTCGCCGTCGCCCCACTTGCGGCCTCTCGGCTCCAGGCCCCCAGCAGCCACCCGGAGTGGGTCCCAGAGAGAGGCGGGCAGCCCTCCCCACGCCCCGCTCAGCCAGTGCGCCTGGCGCTCCTGGGCCTGCCTCTGAGCGTGGCGGAAGTGCAGGCACCGCTGCCTGCACCCTTGCTGCCCCGCTGGCAGCCTTCCCCAAGGTGCCCGGGGGGGCAGGTACCGCCACGGCCGGCCTCCCCGCCCAGGCGAGCCACGCAGGCGGCCCCGGGCGCTTGGCAGGCGGCGAGAGGCCCTCCCGGCCGGGCCCCGGAGAGGCCGGGACTGGGTCGGCCGCCTGCCTCGCCCGGTCCACCAAGCGCTCTTTCGGAAGGCAAAAAGGGAGGTGTGCCCCCCACCACGCAGGCATGTTGCCAGCCCTCATGGAGGCAGCAGCAGCCCCTGTGCGCACAGGCGAGCACAGGGGCTGGTGGGGAAGGCCACAAGGCCACCTCGCACGGGGCTCTCTGGCACCGCCAGGAGACGGCCAGGCTGGCCCCGGGGCTGCGGGCGCCGCGCCCTGTTGGCAAACGGCGGCCGGCAGAAAGCCCAGCGGGAGAGGCTCTCCTTGCTGCCCCAGGGCGGGTACACTGCCGCGGAACACGGAGGCTCCGCGTAGAGCGAGCGCTCGGCACAACGCGCCGCTCCTCCCGGGGCTGCGGGCACCTGGGAGGCGGCCGGGCTCCGCGAGTCCCTCGGGGGCCCCGCCGGCCTTGCCAACGGCAGCGGGGCTGCTTCGGGCGCTTCCGGGCGGCCTCCCGGCTGAGCGGCGGCGCTCTGCCCCTCTCTGCGCTCGGCTCGCGCCCCGCGGGGGTCCCGCACGTTCTTCCCTCGATCGTCCATCCAGATCCCACCCTTCTTCCTGCGGGGAGGAACGCTGGGCGGAACCCGCGGCCCCCTCGCCAGCTCAGCTCCCCGCCACCCCGCCAGGTAGGTCGGCGCCTGGCGAACGGCCACCCAGCGACTTCCCCACCGTGTGGGACCCGGCCGACGCTCCGGCGGTTGCTCCGAGTAGCCCCGCAGCACGGAACGGGCCGGAGCCAGACTGTGGCCGGGCGCAGCGCGCCCAGGAGGGCCAGGCCGGGCGCACCGGCCCTGCCAGCGCGTCCGCAACGGCACTCTGCCCATGCCCGGAACGGCGCGGCGCGGGCGCCGGCTTGGGGGAGGGCGGGGGAGGGGGCGGGCGAGCGCCGGGGCGCCGAGCCCGGCTCGAAGCGAGGCTCGGGGGCGGAGAAAGCGCGGAACAAAGGAGCGGCGGCGACGGTGCGCCCAGGGCGCGCCGGCTCTCCAAGCGCGCGTCGGGCAGGGGCCGCACCGGGCGCCCGCGCCGCACTCACCTGAGGAACTCCTGCAGGCAGGTGTCGCAGAAGCGGTGGCCGCAGGTGGAGACGCGCACGGGCTCGCGCATGGCCTTGGCGCACAGCGGGCACAGCAGGCGCCGCTTGGGCTTCTCCAGGAACTTGCAGGCGAAGCCCGGCATGGCCCGCCCGCCGCCGCCGCCGCCGATCCCGCCGGCCGTGCGCGATCCTGGGCTCGGGCAGCGGCGGGGAGGCGGGCGAGAGGCCGCGGCGCGCCCCGCCCCCTCCCGCCCTCCGCCCCGCCCCCGCGCGCCCCCCCCCCCCCCCCCCCCCCGCCCGCCCCGGGGCCCCCCCCGCAGTTTCGAGGGGGGAGCGGCCTGGCGCCCGGCTGCCTCGCCTCCCCGAGTGCGCGCGCGCCCGCTGCCCCTCCCCCCGGGGCCGCGCACGACCACCCCGCGGGGTAGACCGCGGCGAGGGGCGCGAGCTGCCCAAAGCCCCCCGGGGGGCCCGCTGCTGCTGCTGCTGCTGCTGCGGCTGCTGCTCCTCCTCGCTTCCGGCCCGGTGTGCCCTTCCTAGCAGGAGGCCAAGGCAGCTGCAGGCGGGGCGGGGGTTCCCCGTTGTCCTCACAACAACCCTGCAGTGCAGGCCAGGCTGCAGCAGGGACTGGCCCTAAGCCTCCTGCTGGGCTTCACGACTGGGGGGAGTCTTGAACGCGAGGCTTCGCACGTCCCAGGCTGGTGCAACGCCTGGCCACCCGTTTTGGGGAGGGGGGTCCTGCAGGGGCCGCTCCGCCAGGCCAAAGAAGGAGCGATTGCTAGCAGAGAAAAGTGCGCACAGCGGCCAAATGTGGGCGCAAGGGAAACTGAGGCGGGGCGCAGGGGAGCTGCAGGGCTGGGTTTGCCCTGGACGGGGCCGGAGTCACGCGTGGCACGCCGGGCCCCCGGTCTCAAGCTGAGACTTCTGGGAGGGCAGCCCGGCTAGTCGGTGGCGGGAGAGCTAGCCCCACGGCACTCGGCGGACGAGCCCGAGCGCTCCGGGCAAACTTTGCCGAGCCCTCCGGACCGGATGAGCTGGTTCGTCTTCTGAGAACAAAAACAACTCTTTGTTGTTTTAAATTAACCAGAGACTTCGGACAAATCTGAAAGAGGAGGAGATGGCTGTCCGGTGCAGCCATTCATCACATGGATGGGAGCCTCCATGTTCAGGAGCAGTCTATCTCTTTAGCCCGGTTGTCGGGGAATCGCAGCTGGCTCTCACAATTCCCGGGCAAGGCCCCAAGCCGAAAGGCCTCTTGGCCTGTTCTTCCGGCATGTGTGAAATGCCACATAATAAGAACGGCCTGCCTCATCAGACGCTTCTTTTTTTAAAGACCCAGTCTCCGGTTTCCAACAGTGGACAGCAGCCAGGTACCACAGACTGGGCAGGGAAGCCGACATCTCTCCCAGCTCTGGCGCTTGGCAGTTGCGTGACCGCTAAACACAGGTGGCTCCCATCCGCTTCGGCAGCGGAGGCGAAGCTTTAAATATCTGCCGCCCTCGCGCCCCTCCTCATCCCCTGGGCCAGCAAGCAAGGCCGAGGCCGGCCTGTCCGAGAATCAGAGACCGCCCCCCCCCCCGGCCCCCAACTTTCCAGCCACGGTACCTGATCAGCGATGAGAGCTGCGGCCCGAGACATCTGGTGGATGCCGGTTTGGGGAAAGCTGCAGCAGGGGAACCGGCGGGCTCGGCGCGTCGCCCCTTCCTGTCTCGGTATGACTCGCCTTCCAAAAACAGCTCTTGGAAGCCTTGTGCAGGGGGCCTCCTCCGCTGCCCCCGCACCTCTCCGGGGTGAGCTCCGGGCTGGGGAGAACCAGCCGTTCCCACAGAGCCCATGTCGGGACCATCCGTGGGCCCTTCGCCCCCGTTTCTCGGGGGAGCGCAGGCGGGCATCGTGCGCTGCACCTGGAGGTGAACCGTCTGCACGCCAGTGAGACCAGCTGCTGGGGGGGGGGGGGTGAGGCAGGTGGCTAGAGGCGCGCAGCCGCTTGTGGGGAAACGAATCCCAGCGGGCCTGCGTGGCATCGGCTTCTGGCCCCGTCGCCAGGAAACCGAGCGCCACTGGGAACCGCAGGTGCCAAACTGGGCCCGCAGCTGTGCCCGCTTACGCCCCCGGGGGGGGCCAGGTCCTGCTGCCTTTCTGTGCCGGGGACTGGCTCGCGGGGGGCCCCCCACGGCCGGGCCAGACACCTGTGGGTCCCTGAATGGGAAGCGGGGGAAGACCAGCCTGTTTGCTCCCTGGATGCAAAGCCCCCCCAGAAGCCATGAGGATGGGCTCCTTCGGGGGGAGCCTGCTGGACTGGAATGCAGCCGTTCTTTTTTGGATAGGTGTGGGAAGGCCCCCCCCCCGAAACGCCCTTTGCCCTGCTGCATTTTTCCCTCCAAGGAGCCACCGCCCGAGAAAAGGGGCTTCCGCCCCCCACAGTGACGCGACCAGAGAGAAGCCACTTCTGGGCATCCGGTTCCTCTGAGCTCGGCAGCCTCTGGGGACGCGAAGGCAGCCGTGGGGACACAGGAGGCCCAGAAGCGGAACGAGGAGCACGGCGAGGGGCTTGGGGGTGGCTCGGTCCTGAAGGGCCCACGAAGACCCATTCGCTTGACAAAAGACCCCCCCCGCCCCCCCCAGGAAGCCAGTGACTGCAGGCGCGGAGGGAGTGGGCGGGTGGAGTGCGGACTGTTGCATTGTGGGTCGCACTTGGCCCATGGCCTGTTGTTGCATGTGAATCCTGCATTAGGATTTAACTCTGCCCATGAACCGCCCAGGAAGGGAATCCATGGTTTGTCGTCGGATGACGGGCTTTGTGTTCACGTGAAGCACCAGCCCACATGATTCGGTGGCAGCTGATGGATCCAGTTCACGCGACGCAAACCGAACTCTGCTTTGTCACGCAACCAGGGGACATCCTTGATTCTGGGTTGTTCGGCTGTGCGAACCGCAGGGGCGCCTTCTGGAGTGTTCCTAGTTAGCAGACCGTGGTTCCGAAACCGTTTCTTCCCTCTGCTGCCGCGTCTCCTGGTTTCCGTCCCGGAACGCCTTCCCGTGCCGCTCACCCGATGCCGACGGGAAGGTGCTGGGGAGCGGCAGCGCGCCCCCAAAGGCTGGCTCCCGACCTGCCCCCGCCCGGCTTCTCTGCGGCATCGGCCTGGGGATCTGCGAAATGCCAGTGCCCCACCCGGCTGGGGCAGCCCCGAGAGGAGGCCGGGCGACGAGGAGGGCGCCTGCGGGCAGCTGCTGCCCGCGCGCTCTGGGAGGAGGCCAAGCGCCTGCCCTCAGCGCCTGGGGCTGCCCCGGGCTGTGCTTCCCTGGCAGCGGAGGCGAAGCGCTGGGCCGCCAGGCAGGCACCTCTCCGCCCGTGTGTGTGGGCCGGGCCGGGGCGCCGGTATTCCTCGCCTCGGGCGCCGCGGACGGGGTTCGGCCTGCACGCCAGATGCTCCTCCTGCATGAGAGCGTGTCTCGGCACGGTCCCGCGGGTGCCGCGTGGCGGGGCAGCCCGGGGCATTTCCGCGACCGGCCCTGGCCGGAGACGGAGGGCAGCAAACGGCCCGCGGGACCGAGCGGAAGGCCAGCCTCCGAGGCTCCGTGAGGGCGAGGAAACAGGACGGGCTCGGGGCCCGTTCCGTCTCCTGCATCTCCGAAGCGCAGGTAAACTGGCTTGGGAGGGGAGGCTGCTGGCTTACGTAGTTATTTTTCTTCCTGTCTGTTTCCTGCCAAAGCAGCAAATATCGCAAGACAAAAATCTGTTTCCGAGCTTTTCAAGGTATCATGATAGGAGTTTAATCAGCGGTGGGATTTTTAAACGGCTGGTTCTCAGTGTGAATTGACATGGAGTTTCGTACCACTCTTCCGACAGGCTTGGCTTTGTCAACTGCTCAGTTTGAAATGAGAGTGACACGCTATGGTCATGAAATTCAGGGGTCTGCTAGGGGGCGCGTCCCCGAGGCCCCCAGTGCGTTGGGGGCTGTGTGGGCGCCCTGGAAGTGGGGCCTCTGGGAAACTCCCAAAAGCTCCCCAGGCTGCCTACCCGCGGGTCAGGCTCCAAAAGTGCCCAGAAAGGGCAGGTGGGCAGAATCGTCCGAGAAGCCTGGCGTTGCCAGGGGCGCCTCCCCGAGGCCCTCTGTGCACTCCAGTGGCCCCTCCGCTCCTGGCCGATGCGCGTTCCGCTGACGTCCGCGTTCCCTCTGGCCTCGACCTCCGGCCCTGCGCCTGCCATGCGTGCCAGAGGCCACCGGGAGCCGGCCTGGGCTGCTGATTAACCGGCTGCTCGCTGCTGGGCGGCCTCGGTGTCCCGACCCTTTTGGCTCGGCTGGGAAGGCCCGGAAGCCGCCTGGGCACACCTGGGCCGGGCAGGCCCTGCAAGAAACACGGGCGGCACTCGAACGGAGCCCCCCCGCGCCCGTCCTGGGACTCCATCTGCCCCACCCCGCGGGGATGAGCGTCTGGGCTCTCCGGCTGCGTGGCAGCATCGGCCGCCCAGGAGTCTTGTTCCGCGCCTCGGCCTCTTCCCCGGCGGCAAGCCCCCGACTGTTCCTAGGCCAGGCAGACCTCTGGGAAGGGGAGTGGGGGCGCCCCGCTGCTGTGGGGCCCACGACCGACCGGCTCCGCCACTCCTCCTCCTCCGGGGCTCCGCTCTCCTGAGACCCTCGGCGCATCCTGGCCTCCCGTGCGGCTGAGTCCCTCCGGAGAGCAGCGAAACGAGACCCGGGGCTCCGGGTGCTCCAGGGGGCAGGCGGGGGCTCGGGCGCTCCTTGGGGCCGGGATCCGGTCCTGCTCGCTCGGGCGCTCCACGGGGACGGCAGCAAGGGGCTGGTGCGGTCCGGCGGAGGGGCTGCGGGGGCCCCTCACGGCGCTCCGGGCTCCTCGGCGGCGGCTGCAATGCAGAAGGCACGGCAGGCGACTCGCCCGGCGCTCGCCCCGAGGGAAGGGGCGCGGGAGGGCGGTGCTGCAGCCCCAGCCCCCCCCCCCGGGCTCCTCGGCGGCGGCGCCTGGGCACCGGAAATGGGCCTGGCGCGGGCCCAGCGGCTGGCACCGGCCTCGGGGTCCCGAGACAGAGGGCCTTTGTCCACGGGCTGGGGCCTGAATGGCTGTTTGAGTGGGGGGTCCCTCCCAATGCGTTTCCCCTCCTGGCACCTCCCCCCCCCCCAGCACCACCACACTTACTGGGAGGCCATCCATCTCCCGCCCCTCCCCTGGCTGAGCAAGCGGGTGCCTCTCTGCAGCGAGCCCGGGAGGGGAGGGGGGGGGCTGGCAGGTCTGGGGAGGGGGCCGGCAGCTCGCACGGGCTTTCACGGGGGGGGGGCTGGGAAGGAAGCGTGTGGACCCCCTGCAAGGAGGCGCACGGTGGCCCCAGCAACGGACCTCAGGGTAGGCCGATCCGAGCCCCGTGTCGCTGCCCAGGGCAGAACAACCCAAAAGGGCCAGTGCAGAACCGCTGGAGGAGGCCACCTCGAGCCACATGCCACCCTAGACGGGCCAGCCAGGGGGCGGGCGTGTGCCCCACGGAGCACAGCAGGGCCGGCTTCCACGGTGGCTGGAAAAGCAGCCGCCGCGAACGGGACCTCGGCCTCCCATCAAACCCCACGGAGGAGAACGGCTGCGTTCACACAGAGAGCCATTCGCTCGCTCCGCTTGCCGGGGGCACTGCCGATGGGCCCCTCTGTGCTCCGGGGCGGCCGCGGGCCCCTCGCCGCCGCTCGCGCTGAGGGGCTGCAAGCCACCCCGTGCTTTTCCAAGCCCGCAGCCTTCTGGGAAAGCCTCGGAGCAGGTTCCACCGGACCCCTCCCTCCGCGGCCCCGTTCGTGCCCGCTTGCCCACAGCGGCCACTGCTGCGTCGAGGGGGGCATGGAGGCGGCGCCCCCACGGAGAGGGGCCGGAAGCGGGGTCCGCGAGCGGCTGGGGGCCCCCCAGACTCTCCCCGGGGCTGAGGGGCCCCGGGGGGAGCGCGCACTCACGTTTCAGGGCGAGCAGCGTGCTCCCGTGGCAGCAGGAGACGGAGGCGACCAGGCTGGGGTGGGCCTCGTCCAGCAGCACGGGCCGGGGGCTGCGCGCCTCCTCGTCCTTGCGCCCGAGGCGGCCCCGGGCGCTCTTCCCCCAGCTGCACACCTCGCCGTCTGTGGGGGGGGGGTGGCGAGAGAGCGTGGGTGCGGGGCGGCGTGGCCCACGAGCGCCCAGCCACGCCGGGGCCCCCCGCCGGCTCACCTGCCCCCACGACAACGGTGAAGGCGTCTCCGCAGCCCACCATGACGACTCTGACGCCCTGCAGCCCCTCGACCAGGTAGGGGGCCCGGCTGGCCCGGCAGGAGAGCGGGCCCAGCTGGCCGTGCTGGTTGCTGCCGACGGTGTAGCACTGGCCCGAGGCTGCGGAGGAAGGAGGCGGAGGGGCTGCCGGGGGCGCTCCCGGCCCCACGGGGAGACGTGGCGCGCCCACAGGGCCCTCCTGAGAGCCGGGCCACGTGCGGGCGCTGCTGCCGGGGCCCGCTGCGGGGCCTGCTCCGCGGCAAGCCCCCCACCTCCCCGTGGGGTCCCCAACTCCAAGCCCACGCCACGTTCGGAGGTGCTGCCACTGAGGGTGCAGGCCAAAAGACCCTCCCCCTGAAGGGAGGTCCGGTTGATGGGGGGGGGCAGGGCTCCCGCCTTGCCTCTGGGGCGCTCCTGCCCCGGGGAGCTGGCGCCTTTCCCGGAGCAGCCCTTCCCTGGGGGCCAGAGGTGGGCGCTGGGCGCCTCCTGCCACCCGTGGCGCCGCTGAGCAGCTTGGGGCTCTTGGGCAGCGCTTCAGAGAGACGCGGCTTGTTCCGACCGAGCTGCAATCTGCGGCTTCTCAGAGGCCCCCTTGCCGAAGGCCGGCCCAGAGGCCCAGAAGCCCCCACCCCCCCGCAGGGGCCTCCCCGGAGGGGCGCACCTGTGACGACCGCGGAATGGGCCGTCCCGATGTCGGCCCACACGACGGCCTCCTCGCTCAGGGGGCTCGAGCGGGCCGGGCTGAACGCGAGCGCCTCCTCCACCTGCTCCGCGGGCGCCGGCTCTCCCTGGGGCGGGATCCCGTCCAGGCCCAGCTTGTTATACCTGCAAGCGCAGCGAGGGCCGGCTCAGGCGCACCCCCCCCCCCCCGCGGGCGCAGGTCCCGTCCCTCGGGCTGTGCTCTCCGCTCGGCGGGGCCCGTGGACAAAGCGAGGCAGCGCCCTGCCTCGGCTGGGACGCCCATCGGCCTCGGCCCCCCGCCCCTCTGCCCCGGAGGCCCCTCGGGCTGCCGCACGCAGGCAGGCATGCTGTCGCCGGCCGCCCTCCACGGCCCCGGGACCCAGCGCAGCCGGGCTCCTCCATGGGGCTGAGGCCCTCCGGGCAGGAGGAGCTGCCCCAGGCGCCCCGGCGAGCAGGCCGCCCCGCCCCCCGGCCCCCCGCCCGACCTGTTGCTCCCGCAGGCAAGGATCCGGTTCTTGGCCGTCAGGATCATGGAGGCATCGATGCCGCAAAGGACCTTCTGTGCCTCGTGCTCCGGGGGCACCGGCACCTGCTGCGGCGAGCTGTGGGCCTCTTGCGTGCCCAGCCCCAGGCGCCCTGGGTGAGGGAAGGGAGAGGTGTGTCGGGGGCTGCCGGAAGGTGCCGCCTGGACCCCCGCGTGGGAGGCGGCTGCAGGAAGCCGGGGGAGCCCGCCCGCCCGCCCGCCGGCCCGCGCTCACCGTTGTCGCCTCTCCCCCAGGCAAAGACTTCCCCTTCGTTGGAGACGGCCAGCACGTGCGAGGCCCCGCAGGCCACCTGGGCGATCTCGTAGCCCAGCAGGGCCTCCACGATCTTGGGCTGCAGAGACAATGGGGCCCCTCAGAGGAAGCCGGCAGTGCCAGCGGGGATGGGGCTGCGCACGAACCGGGGGCCTGAGAGAAGCCCCCTCCCCTCCCCTCCCCTCCCCTGCCCTGCCCTGCCCTGCCCAGGCCAGCCCCCCACCCTCTGGGGGCAGGAGAAGCGAGGACTCTGGAGCTGGGCCCCCGGCTCTCGGCAAGCAGCCCGGGGCTCGCCCGGCCCCAGCCCACCCCCGTCCCCTCCCACGTGCCCCCTGGCCCATGGAGCACAAGGACGCAGCCGCCACGGAAGCCCACGGCCTCTGGCAGGCAGCTTCCCGCTGCGCCCACCCGCAGGGCGCACGCACCTGGCTCACGTCCACGTATGTCCCGTGCCCCAAGCAGCCGCTGCTGCCGCTGCCGAAGGTCAGGACGATGCCTCGGTCTGGAGGGCGAGAGGGGAGGGGAGGGGAGGGGGTCTGCGGCGTGCCAAGCCGCCGGCCCCCTCATGCGCTTGCCCCCAGCCCCCCGACGTGGCACCTGAGCGGTGGGTCCTGCCAAGCTTCGGCACGAGGCGGGAGGAGCCGCTGGCCGGGGGGCTGCGGGAGGGCATCGTCCTGCCAGCGGGCTGGGGCCCGGGGCCCAGGAGAGGCAGGCGGTGCCCTCCCCTTGGGGAAGCAGCCACGGCGAGGCAGGAGAGCCAGCGCCTGGCCCGCGGGGGCCCCGGTTCCGCCCTGGCGGCACCCCCAGGCAGGGTGGAGGCGTGCCTGGATGTTCTCCAGAACGGTGAGGACTAGCAACACAGGCGAGTCTTCTCAGGGAACCCACAAGGAAGGAGAGGGCTGGGTGGAGCCGCTGCCCAGTGGAAAAGGCCACTCAGCCCGGCCTGGGCTTCCAGAGAAGCCTGCGAGGCCAGCCCGGCAGTGGCTCCAGGCACCCGCCCCGTGCACGGCCCCCCCGGCCCCCGGCCCCACCTGTTAAGCAGGCGGAGAACAGGTCCCCGCAGGCCACGTGCTTGATCGTCACGCCGGACTGGCCCTCCAGGAAGCGGCAGACGAACTGGGGGTGCAGCTGCTCCGTGGCCCCCGGGAGCGAAGGCCCCGCCGTGGTGCCGACCGGGGGCGGCTGGCGGAGGAGAGGGCGAGACCTGAACAGCGACGCCACAGCGCTGCGTGTCCGGGGCGGGGGGGGGGGCGGGCTTCTGAGGCCGCCTGGCCTCTGCACCGGCAGTGCGCCCTGAGCACTGGGGGGCTGTGGCGACGGCCCCCCCGACTGCCCCCGGGACCCCTCGCCCTCTCACCTCCCACACAATCAGGCGCCCCGACTTGGTCACGCCGGCCTTCTGGGTCCTGCCGGTGGACACCTGCACCACCTCCGTGTTCAGCATGGGCAGGCGGAGGGGGAGGGAGATCCCGCCCCCCCCAGGTGTAGATGGACGACGGGGTGGGCAGCATGCCGGGCCGGGCGGAGCCTGCGCGGGAGCCTGGGGGTGAAAGGAGGGCGTGCACGTGAGGCCGGGGGCGGGGGCGGAGGCGGGGGACCGGTCCGGGCCCCGGAGTGGGCAGGGGAGAGCCGGGGGTCCCCCCCAGCACATCCAGACTCACCCCTTGCTCTTGCACCGAGGGCGCCTCTCCCGGCCCTGCCGTGGGTGACCGGCGGCACGGTGGCCAGCGGCTTCTCGGGCCTGCCCAAAAGAGAGGACCGTGGCTTAGGGGCTGCGGGGGCGGGGTGCGGGGGGGCCGGCGGGGAGACCCACCTCCTCATCCGGACGCTGCCCACGTCGGTGTGCAGGTTGAGCAGGGGCCGGATGCAGATGGCCTCGGCCATGATCTCGTCCAGCCGCGGCCGCTTGGCGGGGTCCAGCTGGAGCAGGCCGAGGATGAGCTGGCGCAGCTCGGGGCTGTAGCGGTCGGAGATGGGCGCGAAGGTCCCGCTCATGATCTTCAGCACCAGGGCCGGCAGGTTCTGCGGGCCACGGCAGAGGGCCGGGGGGCCGGTCACGGGGGGCGGGCACTCCGGGACCCCCCAAGAGGCCTCGCGAAGCCCGGGGGAGCCGGGCTGGGGGGCACAGCCGCTCCCCCACGGGGCCCGTGCAGTGGGAGTGCTCCAGGCGGGGGGGGAACACGCGCAAAGGGATTCCGGGACGGCCTCGCGCGAGGAGGACGGCGATGGCCACGAAAAGTGGGGCACGGATCCCTTTACGGCTCGGCGGCCGCCGCCAGCTCCAGGGGCGGCCGTGGGGGTCTCGCTCCTGCTGGGGGGGGCAAGCAAATAGGGCAGGAGTAAGAACAGCAGCATCTTCCCGCCGGGAGCGCTTGCCGCTGGCCACTGAGCCTGAGGAGAGGCGCCCAAGCCTCTGGGAAAGGAGGGAAGAGGCGGCGCAAAGGCCGAGAAGACGGCGAGGGATCTGCCGTGGGGGGGTGGGGGGCAGGCTGGGGCAGCCGCCGGAGGGCTGGCACAGATCGGGGCACCGCTGCGGCCCCCCGCCCCCCCGCCCCGCACTCACTGCGGCCTCGAAGGCCCTCTTGAGGCTGGCGAGCTCATACAGCACACAGCCCAGGGCCCAGATGTCGCTCTTCTGGTTGTAGGGCTTGCCCTCACACAGCTCCGGGGAGATGTAGCACGGCGTGCCCACCACCTGGGGAGCGGTTTGGGGGGGGAGGTCAAAGGCGGGGCGGGGGCAGGAGGCCTCCTGCTCCGTCCCCCCGTGAAAGCGGGAACGGCTCCCCGTGGGGGAGAGACCGACACGCACGCACGCCCTCGGCTGCCCTGCCCTCCCCACTGAGCTCCCAGAGTGGGGAGGCGGGCCACAGGCCCCCAGGGCACGGGAGGGGAGTCTTGCAGCTCGCGCCTCCTCAAGCCCAAGGGGCCCGGGGTGAGGCCCCCCGGCTGCCGCTGCGCCCACCGTGTAGGCCTTGCTCTTGCTGCTGAGGATCTTGGAGATGCCGAAGTCGCCGATCTTGACGGTCACGTGCCGCTCGTCCAGGAGGATGTTCTGCGTCTTCAGGTCCCGGTGGAGGATCTGCCTGGTGTGCACGTGGAACAGGGCCAGCAGGATCTGGGCGAAGAAGTGCAGGATGGTCTCCTCGTCCAGCAGGGAGTTGCCGCGCTTGTGGATGAACTCTGCCAACGTCCCGCCTGGCGGGGAGAGGGGCATGAGCGCTGGGGGCGGCCTGCCCGGGGCCGTCGGGAGCGCCTGGCCTGCCTCCACAGGGCTCGCCGTGACCAGGCCGCCCACTCGGAAGCCCCGAGCCGCCGACCAGCCCCCGGCCCTGCTCAGCAGAGCGACTGCGCCGTGCCAGAGCCGGGGGGAGCCCCGAGCAAAACCGTGACGCTGGCAAACCACTGGCAGGTGCAAAAGGGGAGCGAGCTGCCCTCTGGGCGGGCTGGATGAGGCCCACTGGCCTGAGGTTCTGCACCGCTCCCGGGGATGGTCTAGCCCTCCGCAGAAACTCCCTTGCCGTGACAACAAGTTCCATCAGGTAAAAAAGGGCTTCCTGTCCCATTCGCCACCCTCACTAATAGTCGCTTCAAAAGCAGACTGACAGAGAGAGAGAACAACCACCACCACCGCCATCGGACCGACATTCCTCTCTGCCCGGCCTTCCCACGCACTTCATGGTTTTACGAGGCCACCAAGCGCGAGGCAGGACGGCAGCCACTGGGTGGCCCAAGCGCCTTTCGCCTCCCTCCCCGGGGAGGACGGTTCCGCTGGGCAGGGCCTGGTCGCCTGAGGAAATCTCCCATCGCAGCCGCAGCAGCAGCCATGAGCAGGACCAAGCCGGCCAGGCAGGGGTTAACGCTCGGCTGGGTGCCAGCCCGGGTGGGAGGCAGCCTCTCCATGGGAGAACAGGCTGGACTGGTCCTGCGGGAAGAGGCTCTGCCTCCAGGTGGTCCCTGGAATCTCCTGCAAAGATGCCAAGAACACCCCGCAGGCACGTGGCCCACAGAAACCCAAACCCGGGAGGGAGGGAGGGAGGGAGCGCAGGTTCACAAGGTGAAGGGGCTGCCTCCCCTCCATCCAACCCACCCTGCCTCTTCTGGACACCCCCTTTGCAGCAGGAAGCCGGGGCAGGAAAGGGAAGGCAGCAGTCCAAGGTGAGGGGGGGGCGAGGGAGAACAGGGGGACCCCTGGCGCTCCCTCCACGGCCCGGGTGCTGCAAAGGCCTCCAGGCGGGAAGCCGCGTCACAGTCACGGGGTGGGGGACCCAGTGCATGGAAAAAACGCCAGAAAAGCTCAGCAACACTTTAAAAAGTTAGGGGGTTTTGACCCCCTTTTAGAGGTAGGAGATAGAAAAACGGGCAGGCAGCATCTCCCACCAGCCCAAGGCAGCGATGGCCAGGGCTACCGGTCAAAAAACTGGAGGGCACCATGTGGGGGTCGGACTGGCGGCCTGGCTCCCGGGGGTCTCGAGAGCCTTGCCGGGGACTGAGCCGGAGACCCTCTGCATGCAGAGGAGGGTGTCCGGTTCGAGCCCATCGATGCAGCTGAGTCTGGAGAGAGACTGTCTGAGCGTTCAAAAATAAATCGGTTGCAGCACTTGGGAAAGAACACACAGCCGGTGGAATGCAAACACGCCCAGGTGGACAGACCACCCCGGTGTGGCCGGAGGAGCGCACGACTCTCTGGCCGGGAACCTCCGGCCTCCTGCCGAGGGCAGAGGAGAGGCCGGCCAACGCCGCAGCTGGCTTGGCTCCCGACCAGGTGCGGCTACGTGCCGGGTACCCTGCTCTGGCAGGCGGAGACGCAGCTAGCCTGCACGCCCACAAGGAGGAACGAGAGCTGCTGAGGGCGGGCTGGACCGAAGGCAGGAAGGCTGGGAGCCCCGGCGTTGTTCCAGGAGAAGAGGACAGACGAAGGCCGCCCGCCTCGGAAAGCTGCCTCTTTCCAAGACGGCCACCCCACAGTTTGGGGAAGGGCTGCAGCCTGGGGGCAGAGTCCTTGCCTTGCACCACAAGGGCCCCAGGCCCGACCCCCTGGTCCCCTTGGGCGGGATTGACCCCGCTGCGTTCACACAACATGACAACCCGACCTCAAGACCGAATGCAGTTCGTTGCTGAACCACGGGCTGTGGCTCTCGCGCGAATCCACCCGCACTAAGAAACTGTGGTTTCTCACCCTGCAGCTCATCACTGCCCTAAGCATTCTAGTCCTCAACGTTTTGCGTACAGGTCCGGCTCCGAAGAGCAATGCAAGGAGCCGCTCTCAGGCCACCAGGGGCCTCCTGCCGTTCAGGAAGCCCCTCACCGCTCGGGCTCCCCGCAAGGGCCCACCTGGCGCATACTCCATGGCAATCATCAGGGCCTTGTCCTCCAGGAAGTTCTCGTAGTACTCGATGACGTGCGGGTGGTGCAGCAGCTTCAGCACCTGGCACTCATTCTGGGCCGCCAGCCGCTCGTCCTTGCTCATCTGCTCCACGGGGATCTGCTTCAGGATGACCAGCTTCTGGTCCATCTTCCGCAGGCACAGATGCACGATCCTGCAGCGGGGGCAAGGGAGAGTAATGCCCCCCCCCGAAGGCCTTATAGGGCGGCAGCTCTGGGGCACAGTCCTATATGATATGCCCGTCCCCGCAGGAGCTGTAGGGCCTTTTCCTGTCTAGGCAGAAATAGAGGATTTCAGGACATTCTTCTGTCTGAGCATGCACAGAATCGGGGGGCTTTTGCCCAAGCACTTGCGCCCTTCCAACGTTGTGGAACATGCGCATGGCGGACATGATGTGAGCGGAGCCGGCTGGAGCCGGGGGTCAGACTAGATGGCCCGGGAGGTCCCCTCTGACTCGCTCTGTTTCTATGCTTCTGATGTTTCATCTGCTTAATGCAATTAAATTAAATTAAATTAAATTAAATGCAATTAAAAAATTAAAAACACCTAGTCTTAATACAATTCAGACAACCTTCTTCAGGCTGAGTAAAAACCCCGAATTAGTGCATGTTATTTATTTATTTATTTATTTAGAATACGTAGATGCTGTCCTTGCGCAAAGGCCTCAGGACGGCTTGCATAAATAAATAATAATAAAACATAATACAAATAGACCCATGCACTAGACTCATTTGAGGTCGATGCATGTTTTTCATGAGAAGCACTGAAAAAGTTTTCCATGCAGAGCTGCCACCACAATCCCATATATTCAAACGTTAAGTTGATTCCATTTCTCTCCCACTAAATAGCACAAGGGTTCGCACAAGAATCTCCATTTTACGTTCAGGACAACCCTGCAAGGTAGGCCAGGATGAGGGGCGGGGGGCCAGCCTAAGGTTGCATTGTGGCCATGGGGATTTAAAACCCCAATTATTGGGCAGTACACGCACGAATGCATTCAATTAATTTGTTAGATTTATGCCCTGCCCTCTTTCTTACGAAGAACTCGATTTTCCCCGGCTTTCAATCTCATACCCACAACAACAGCCCTGCGAGGTAGGGTCGGCTGCGGGGCAGTCTTCACGCTCCACCCCAACCTCTTGCGCGCTCCCCACAACCCTGCGAGGGAGGCCAGGGCGCGATCCCCACCACCCGGCGAGGAACGTTCAGCTAAGCCGGACCGGGCGCCCTCCGGACTACACCCCCCAGCATCCCCACCCAGCGCGCGGCGACTGCGAAAAGCGGCCTCCGCCGCCGTCCTCACCCGAACGCGCCCCTTCCGACCACCCGAATCCGCTCGTATTTCTCCATCAGGCTTCTCCTGGCCCGCTAGGCCTCGGCCGCCGTCGCCATGGAGACACTTCCGGGAGGACGACGGCGGCCGGCAGGGGCCGAAAAGGTGGGCGGGGCGCGAGAGCGAAGGGGGCCGGCCGGGCGCATGCGCGTCATCGCCGCAAGCAAAGCGGCGGTGGCGGCAGTGCATCTGTTTGCACGGCTGCACCAAACGGGAGTTAATTCGGATTTGAAAGCCTTGCGGCGCCTCGGGGCGGATTATCCGGCGCTGGAAGGAGAAATGCCCAGGAATGCCCCCCTTCTGGCGGCGCCGCCCCCCGCTCGCCCCCCATCGCAGCGGCGGCGAGACGGGGCGCGCCGCCACGGAGGGATCCCTCGGCTGAGCCGCCCCGCGCGCACAGGATCGCGCTACTCCGGGCGCACCGGGCGCCCCGGCGCGCGGGATTGGCGGCGCCCCTCGAGACCCCGATGAGGCGCCCCGGGGGAGCGCGCCTGGCGGGGGGGGGCTCCCGGGCGCCTGCTGCTTGGGGGGCGCGCACGGCAGGCCCGGGGGGATGTCGCGCGCGGGGGGGG